CAAACTCTCCACCACGTATTTCGTGCATTATAACCAAGAAGCCTAGCAGTTTAGAGTTCGCCAGCATATAATTGGTTTGCTCGAAAGGTATCTGCTTTAAATTAGAGTTGGTAGCTCACCTTTAAGCTGCAAACTGAAGATCGCAGTAGCAGCTGAGCAAAGTTTACGTGCCGTTTATCAAGATCGATATGATACATTTTTATTCACAAAGTACAATGTCATGAGAGAATACGGAAGCAATTAAGTGGCGAGAATGTGGAGATCTTCAGTTGTTTGTTGTCCTTGATAGGATGTACCTATAAATATGATAAAACCTTTTTAAGGCTCCTTATTCTCCTTAAGATTGAGCACATTCTATGAAGAACTTGTAACCGTATATATTCTTTACTATTCTTTGTCGTAAATAAGAAAAAATGAATAGGCGGGGCTAATCGCATGACTTTTACTGGCGTTGTGTAATGAACCTGCCTACACTTACCTGCCATTCGAATGGTTTTCCCAGAATTGAATGAGGTATACGTTGACGAATGATGAGGAATCGGAGCTGGTCCCGAATTTGCTAGAGCGTTGCTCACAGATTAAGTGAAAGAAATAGAAAGGAGATAAAAACAACACACCACAATATTATCCACACCAAACAACAGTAAACGGAAGTTACATCCACGCACATCTAGAATATTACCTTCGTCTTCAACGTATCCAATATCGACCTGAATTTCCCCCAATATCATATGGAAATTGCTTATAAAGATTGTTGTGAGTTTTTGCATTGCCGCTAGGAACATTTTGATTTTTATCATGAGCTTTGTTTTTTGGAACATATAATTTTATATGGATGTTATTCACTTCGTTAAAATGGGCTTTACAGAGGAAAAGTATTGCACACAAAGCAGTATATTTTCAAAGGATGGGAACATATGACGGGACAAATACATCAATCCTTCTTTTGCATTCATTCTGCTAACGCCTGTCGCTGCCTGTTAAGATCGAAAGGCAAAAAACAAGAGTGAAACAATAGAAAATATATTGTCAGATCAAGCGGGTAATGAGAAAAGAAACAAAAAGTATTAAGGTTTAGTAAAAGGCCTACCAATGAGATCTGCTTGGAGCGTTTTGGGAAACGTCCAGATATATCCAGTGACGAGTACCGAACTCGTGCTTGACCTTTAAAGGACCACAGAGGAAAATTGTTTTTCTTGTAGAAAAATGCCTAAAATGCAAAAATTAAAGGAAAGATTGAGGATTGATTATTTAGAGTGAGTTTACCTTGATTCCCCATCGAGCGTGGATTCCACTTTCCTCTTCCTTAAATTGAGGTAATGGCTGAGGTCGTTTAAGGAGTTGCAAAGTCATCCTGCAAACTCTTTAAAGCCTGTTGCTGATATAACCTAAAATTAGTACGAGAGCCTTATTTTGTGAAAGTGAAAAAAACTTTTTTAGTTTATCAAGTTTTTATTGAAAAGTAAAAGCAATGGAAAACGAAGCCAGAGATATAGCTAAAGTATGTAGTTGAAGGTAAGGCGAGAACACGGAAAAAAGAACAACATAACGAAAGCGATAAAAAAGACCGTGATTTCTGAAGTACAAAGGATTGCGTTTTCAAATACTCAAATTCTTTTGGTAGATTATGCAGCTATTTTATAAAGGGGCAGGCAAAAAAAA